ACGAAACTGCAGCCCTATGAAAATTCTCTAATTGAAAGGTGCTGTGAACTCTAATGTCCTCCTTTTATGTTCACTGAAACTCTTTAGGTCAAAATGGTCCGTAAAACTAAGCCTTTTCTTTGAAGTGCACAGTTATTACCAGTAACTAGCCTCAAATGAGTGCTGAGGTTTGTGCATACACAGAATCTAGGTGGGTCCTGGCTGGCTCAGGCTGTAGAGCGAGCGATTCTTGATCTCGAGGCTGTGCGATCAAGCCCCATGTTGGGTGTAGACATTACTTAAAAATAAAATCTTAAAAGAAAAAAAAAAAGCAGGTGGCTCAGTTGGTTAAGTGGCCAACTTCCCTTAAGTCATGATTTTGCTCTTCATGAGTTCGAGCCCCGCATGGGACTCTGTGCTGACAGCTCAGAGCCTGGAGCCTGCTTCAGATTCTGTGTGTGTTCCCCTCTCTCTCTCTCTCTCTCTCTCTCTCTCTGCTCCTCCCCAACTCATGCTCTGTCTCTGTCTCAAAAATAAACATTAAGAAAAATTTTTTTAAAGTCCAGGACACGCTCTGTCCACCTTCTTTGTTTCCAGCGCCCGTTGCACTTGTTTCTGCCTCTGAAGGCAGAACTAGTGTGTGGAACAAGCAGCCCTTGTGCGAAGGAAAGAAACAAATCCTTTTTCTCCAACAGGATGGGAAGACAGCGGAAGAACTGGCTAAATCAGAACAGTACGAGCACGTAGCAGGTCTGCTTGCAAGGCAGAAATTCTGTTTATTGGTCTGAAATGGTTTTTACGTGAAAAATTCTTTTTCCTTGTAAACGATGAGATGAACAAAGTGAGGCATTGGACCCCCACCCCCACCCCCATCCTGTGGTTTGCATACAGTTAGCGTCAACACATCAGCTACCTATCAGTTTCCTCTTCTATGTTTGGACATGGAAATCATGTGACCTCCTTACAGTTGCTATGCCTGGTTTCCCTCCTCCCACCCTCTCTGTAATAACCGTCCCCACAAAGTAGACAGGAAATGAGAAGGCTGACTGCTTCTTTCCTTCTTAATGTGTTGAGCTCCCAGATATCACATGATACACTCCAGTAGAGGAAACACTGTGACTCTAAGGTTTAAGGACACAGGACAGAAGTTAGCAAATGCAGGGGTGTCTTTCCCGCCCACATCATAGGAATGTGTATCAAGAGTCTTTAAAATAGTCACACCCTTTAAGCTAGGAACTCCATGTCTGGGACTCTATCCTAAAGAAATGTAGGGGGAAAAAGTTTTATGCGCAAAGATATTCATTGCAGTGTTATTTATAATATGGTAACAAAAATTAAAAACATCAGATGACCAACAATAACGTCTAGTAAATTGTTATGCAGCTACATGATAGAATGGTTTGGGGACATTAAAATATTGTTGAAGAGATTTTAGCAGCAGGACTTTAATGCTTAGGTTGTTCCTGGCTTCAAAGCGGAAGATAATATTAAGGGCACATTATAATCCCACCTATGTTTTTTATTTTTATTTTTTTTATTCTTTTTTTTTAATATATGAAATTTATTGTCAAATTGGTTTCCATACAACACCCAGTGCTCATCCCAAAAG